TTCCACCTCCACCGATAAATTAAATTCAAAAGCATTGCTAAGGGACATTCTAAAGGAATGTTCAGGTGCTCCAAGGAGAATATAAAAATGAAAAGCCTTTTTTGACTGGGAAGGAAAATGTGAGAAACTGCCAGGTAGATTTTTAGTACTGTGATATTTTGGAAAAGTTAATCTATTTCCAATTAGCATAGGGTTTTTTCCCTGGTAGATATCATTATATCAGCCATTTTTATCAACATTGCCTTTAGAAACAAAAACAGTAATTTGGCAATCTGATTGAAAATAAATATTTGTGCAAGAGCATTTACAGGAAATACATTGTAACATTATTTAAAGCAGAGAATAAACCTCTTGTTTCTCTTCTTTTTTCTTTTGCTGCCATTTTAGATGGGTTATTTCTGATCTATCTTAAAATCCTTTCCAAATGTTAAAAGCTTTGGCAGTAACTGCACTGCATATTATATTTTCAATCAGTGCTATCTCTGGTTGGATCACGATTATATAAAATATTAAAAGCTGTAAAAGCCATAAAACAATAAAAACAGTAGCATGGGTGAAAAATATTTAGTTCTTCATATTATTGTCAAACTTTGTGTGAATTCAAAAATAGTTCCATCCTCTGGCAATATTTCCTTTCTTTCTTTTTCTTTCTTTCTTTCTTTCTTTCTTTCTTTTCTTTTCTTTTCTTTCTAATTAAGCATGCTGCAAGAATTATCTTTGTGGAACCTAAGGGACATATTACTTTTTTAGTAGTGGTTTCTATTAAATTATAAATATCCTCTATTACTTATAGTCATTGATAGATAAGACAATGGATTCAACAGATAGATGCTTTTGAGACAGAGGGATTTAGTGAGTTTAAGGTTTACAGCAGTGTTTTTAAAAATGGTAGCTTTAATACGTGTCAATGCTGGCTTGGGAATTCTGAGAATTAAAGCCCATACATTTTAAATATTGCCAAGTTTTATTTATCTGAGTCTAGAGTCAGTGTTACATACATTACTGGTGCTTTCACATCAAGTCCTTATTGCACAAGTGTCCCGTTCATTTGTAGAATTTGGGGGAAGATGGCCACACATATAGAAGACATAGAATCATAGACTCATAGGGCTGGAAGGGGCCTCAGAGATCTTCTAATCCAACCCCCTGATCAAGGCTGAAGTCTTGTACCATCCCAATCAAATGGTTGTCCAGTCTGTTCTTGAAAACCTCCAGTGATGGAGCACCCACAACCCCAGAAGGCAAGCTATTCCATTGATTAACTGCTCTCACTGTCAAAAAAATTCTCCTTACTTGTAAGTTGGACAGAGTGGGTAGACTGAGAGAAACCATGGAGATAAACAACCAAAAAATGGAATTTGTTCATAGCTAATCTCATAAAGGACACTTAAGGGTAGGTGCCCAGAAATCTGGGTGAAAACAATCGAAGACATTTCAAAAGATTCTGCCTCAGTGAAATTACTAATAAACAAGGGTTGAAAATTCATTTATAGATTCACAATTTGGAGTTTGTCCCTAACAGTCCCTTATGTTCAGCTTACTAATGCAAATTGATAACACCATTGCTTGGCATTTTCTATCCTTTGGTCTTTTCTATTTCTTCTTATTATTATTATTATTAAATTGATACCCCACCTTTTCAACAAGAGCTAATAGGGTAATATGTAGCACTCCTACCTCTGATTATTTTTCCCCACAAGAAGATTGGAAAGATAATTAATCAAAGCTACTCAATAAGTTCCATTCTCAGTTTTAGACTCTCCACAATCCTAATACAACATCTTAACTAGTATATGACACTGCCCAAATATTAGCCTCAGGAATGCTCCAAGTCAAAGCATCCTGGCTGGTTGTGGTCAGAGGGAATGACATGAATGAACTCTAAGCTCTAGCAGAAGCCTTAGGACCTTGGATAGCTCCCTGCAGTAAATCACAGGATGTTGCTCTACCAATATTTCACAACATTAAGATAGGTGGATTTTAACTCCCAGAATTCCCACCCAGTCCACCTGTCTCAACATTGTTAGGTTTGAAAAATGCTGCTCTACCACCTGCCTATCAACAGCTAAGGTCTTAAAACAGAGAGCAGAGCCTGGTGAACCTACCTATGCTCCGGCTGATTGCTGAGTGTATGTCAAGCTTGATCAAACTAAGAAACCAATCCATGTAGGCCAACACTATTATACTTTCATTGCACAATTAAAATAACAGAATTTTACAATTCTTAGTGCACTTCTGTGATGGCGTGTGGGAAAGATTCACTCTCCAGCTAAACGCTCTGTGTTTTCCTGCTTCAGCACCGCTCACCAAAGTTTAGAATGAGACTTTTTATTTTAAATGAAAAAATAAGCCATGGATATGCATAATCATTGCACATAAAAAGCAATAAACATCTATATATCTAACAACTCCTTTACCATTTAAAAGTCCTGGTTTCCTGGAATAAATCCTGGGAATTGTCTCTGGGCAAAGCAGTAGTCATCTGATAGAGAGGCTGACTCCCCAAGAGTGATATTTCCCAGGATTCGCCAATAAGAACAAATCACTATAAAATCAGTTCAATCATACTGACACTAATGCAATTTTTCCTTCATTTTTACCAGTGCCATCTTCTAAACCAGGATTAGCAAACAATGGTCTTCAGGCCAAATCTAGCCTACCACCTGTCCTACAAATTAAGAATTGAGAGGCGGACAGGTGGCAGATTGCCAGATCTGAGTCTGAGCCAAACTCTTGGGGCAACAGTAGTGGCCAAGCCATCCTGCGCAGGGGCAGCCTATCAGCATCTCCCTTGCTGGCAGGCCAGAGTCTTCCAATAGTTACCATGCTGTTTGGCCAGCAGATCTGCCAGCCGCAGTGGTAGAAGTGAGGCAGGATCTCGTCCTTTAGGCAGAAGTCTCCAAACTTGGCAATTTTAAGACTTGAGAACTTGCTGGCTGGGGAATTCTGAGAGTTGAAGTCCACAAGTCTAAAAGTTGCCATGATTTGAGACCTCTGCTTTACAGAATAGGCTTGGTGAACGCTATCTAAACTGTAGCAATCTCAATCTTCACACACACAAAGAACTATTATAAAGTGCAACCAGTATGCCCCACAATGTCTCTCCTAATAAGGAAACCTTATGGTACAGATAAGAGGTAGGTTCCGGCAGAGACTACTGCCGGTTCACTCAGGGACGTGCAGTGCGTGCTTTGCACGCATGCACAATACAACTAAAATTGCTCTGCGCATGCGCAGAAGCAAAAACAAGATGGTGGTGCCTATGCCGCCACCAGGAGAACTGGTTCGGGGCGTCGCAGGCCTGGGTTACTGCCAGTTCCAGCAACCCAGGCTGCCAAGCTACTACTGGTTCAGCCGAACTGGTAGGAACCCACCACTGGTACACATAGTCCTCAATTTATAATCAGAAACTTTACACTCAATTTGTGAACTACTGGAAATCAGTTGCAGAATAAAATGTTGTATTTGAAAACCTTGTATTGTTAAGTTATTACACACAAAGTTTCACATTTCTCATACCTTTCCTTCCAGAGTTATAAAAAGCCAAACTTTAACCTTTTTTCGAGCTGCGTTCATTTTTGGCCAACTTTGCCCCAAATAATCTAGATGGAGATCGCTCATGAGAAAGTTTTTATTATTTTGTTTAATAGAACACAACAAGTTGTACAAAAGATGGCCAAGTTCTGTTTCTCTCAGCAAAATATTGCCAGAGATACAGTATTATGTCTCAAAGTTGCTGAAACCTCAGAGTCATACTGTAGAGGGCTGAGGTATGGGCTATATCTCCACAACTATTGCATCGGCAAATGTAACTCTTTACCAATGTTCATTGGGGACATGTGTGCATGTTCACACCAAATTTCATCGAAATCTGTGATGGTCGAGCAGGGAGCCGCAGACCACTTGACATGGAATGACCCATCAGACATCATTTTCGAAGTTATGATGTACCCTAAACAAGGGACTTATAAGCCGGATTCAACATTCCGACGTCCCATTTCCACGTCTCCCACAGTTACATGACTACATTTGGGGCACTTGGCAACTAGCCTGCATTTATGAACATTTGCAGCCCCCCCAGAATCACATGCCATTTTTGCTGAAAACCAGTGTTTATTTCCAATTCCTGGCAGAAGAACCATGTCATAATAAACAATGGCTTTGTTAATGGCTGTAGTGTTCACTTAACAACCATGGTGTTCACTGTACAACCACAGTGTTTGCTTAGTGACCACCAGCAAAAGATTGTAAAATTGGGCATGCTCACAGGATGACCCACTTTATGACTGAAATTGCGAGCGCAAATAGTCATAAGTGAAGGACTACCTGAATAGCATCTGCTTAGACACAATGCAAACAAAATCTATGGAAATTTTACATCCAATGTATTGCCACCTGCATTCTCATTCTATAATCTTATTTCATTTACCCACAAAATGCCTTAGGTAGGAGCTTACTAATCAAGATGCAAAGTATGTCTCCAAATATAGACATTTTTATCTTCTTTCAAAGAACATGCATATCACTCCTGATTTGTACTAGCGATAGCAATAATTACCCAAATGCTTCAATCAGTAAAGTCAGTTTACATCATTATCCTATATTATACTTTGTAATACATTTATTCTGTTAAAAAAAATATAGAAAAGCAACAGACAAGTCTCTTTACACAGATGAATCATAAATGTTTTTTTTTTTTAATCAGTTTGAGAAGGATTTCCGCAACACGATATCCATTACTGGAAATGTACATCCATATATCTCTACTTCTATCATAGTTGGAATCATCTGTAGGAAAGGAAGATTAAAATAAACATTATGTAAAATATTTAAAAAAATAAATTTCACTTCCACCAAAAAGATGCTGGGTGAAATATCTATTAATCTTGAAGGTAACCAGAACCAACTGAGGTCAGTAGATTATACTGAAGAACTAGGGGATATTAACTTTGACATAAATCTGACAGCTTATCATACTAAAGAAATAGCAAATTGGGTTTGGTCAATTGGCCAAACAAATATTTTCATATGATATTCCCTAATTTAGATATTTTGGAAAATGTCAAACACTCTCAGAAACTTTCTAACTCATCTTAAAAGAGGAGCCAGTTTTGTTAGCAAGTCGCTCAGAGTTTGTGTTCACCAAACATTGTAGACTAGAGAACAGTAGTTTGTAGCTGTATTATTGCAAATCTACCTACAGGATTAGGTATCTCTTCAGTGTATTGTGTGACATTTAATTCAATTTCTATAGCCTTTCTGGATGTGGAAGACAGGAATTAGTCTTATACAAATAAAATTCAAGGAAATATAGCACACTTGGTTTTTTTTAAAGGGCAGTGTAGAGTATGATTGAGAGGCACAAGGATGAGATATATGTCTCTTCTTCATTCCAAGAGAATGAACATCTTAAGGAGGAAAGATTTTGAGAAGTGGCATTTACTTCTGGTTTGGGACAAAAATGGCCCATGGTGAATAATGGGGTCACTTAACCAACACAGCATTTGCTTAATGACCACCAAAAAAGGTCGTTCAATCACATAGGTGATCTGCTTTACAGCCGCCATGATTTACGACAGTTGTAAATTGAGAAGTACCTGTATTATTACTCTACTTATGCAAAAATTTATGGGCTTCAAGAGGCTACTAGGCTTCAATTTTAGCCAGTGATGAAGATTTCTGGAAGTTAACATACAACTGTGTTACTTTGAAAGTTACAATATTCCATGCTCCTTGTTTTTTTTTTTAAACAAACATGCATGCAATTATGTGTACAATCATATTTGGTCTCCAAGGTGAATACACTCTTGGAAAGGTTTGGTTTATTTGGAAGTAAAGTGAAACGTGCTTCTGGTTTTAATTTAAAGAGGTCATTGTCCAAAACGTAGGAAACAAGATCCTCTTTCTTCAATCAACTTGGGCACAGATTTTTTTATGTTGACATCCAACCTTGGTTCAACATACACCAAGGATCAGATGAAGAACAGGAGATACAATTTGGATTGTTGGGTTGGTTACATTTGGGGCATATGTTGATTGGTTCACAAAATCAGCTTCAAATTCAGCATCATCCCATTTTGATAAATCGATGAGGGCCAAGGAAAGAACCAGATGTAGATTAACCAAATACAAGGCTGGAGAGAAGAATCCTGCCTATTCTAAAGCCTTTCAGATCTTTGGTTTCCAGATTCTTGTTTTGCATGCTGATAGGTTTGAACTTTAAGGGCTGAAAAAGTTGTAAGCACCTGGAAGCAGGATGTGAAAGCTTGGATAGCAAAACCTAGGATAGAAAGCTTGGATAGCAAACCAACTCAAAGCCCTTGTTCATAGCAAGAAGGATGGAGTCTAGCTAAGAAGCTAACAAGGATGATAAATAAGGCAAAGTGTATGGAAATGGCCAGGCAGGTTAGGAACAGAAATTTGGCAGTTCGGAGTAGTTATCAAATAGTGGCACAGAACTACCTCATGTATCATAAGGATGTCATGCCATGCAAGCTGCATCATGGTTTGAAGCATCCAACATTTTATCCAGTTAGTAGCACAAGATTTGATAACTGACTTAAAAAATTCCCATTTCAAGCTTCTTTCCATCTCAGATGCTTAGCAGGTATTTTATAAGCCTATATGTCCACGATTTTTCAGCTTTTCTCCATGGCCATAGGCTCGAATCATCATAATACCACCTGCATCTCTTATTTTGTTTCACTCTAAGTTGTATTTATAATACATTCACCCCCAGAAGTGATGCATCTTGGAAAATATCTTGGAACAAAAATTATGTGTCCGCATAAATAATATGTCCTGGAGTGTCTATGTACTAACTTGCTGATAATTTTCTGATGTGTTCTAGGAGGAACATCAAACACGAGAAAAGTCCACTGGGGCAAAGTGCAAACAAACCATGATCCTGATGACCCTTATTTGGGAGGCCAAACTAAGAAATGAAGAGATAGAAGGGGGGGCTTTTTTTTACAATTCTCCCTAAGTTGAGGTTTTGGTGTGCACCGTGCCTTGCTGGACATGTTGAATAAGTTCTTTGCGGTTGTCCAGGATAGTGTCAAAGCTCTCCTGCAGTCGATTTTGCTGGTCAGCAACATTCTGTTGGAGGCTGCGAATCCAGCGTAGCAAGGCCAGGCGGCGATACATCACTAAGTGGATGCGATATTTCTGTTTCTCCAACTCTTTGAACTTCTCCTTCTCCTGCATGTTCCTGAAAGCTTCTGCCAGTGATGGGGAGAAGGTCTCAGAACTAGAGGAAGAACTGTCAAAATCACCAGAGGAGGCTTGTTGCTTAGTGTTACATGTCCAGTCTTCATCAGTAACAGAAGGTATCTTCCAAACATTGGTGCCATCACTCTCAGGGCTATCAATCCAATGACTGCTGGAACAACCCTTATCTTCTCGAGGGGACCTGGCCAGTTTCCCTCTTACCTTCACCTTCACCTGGCAGTTGGTCTCTTGTTCTGGACTCCTGACCTCGGCACCTTCGGGTGGTCTACGAATGTCCTCCTCCTGTCCTTCCTTCTCCTCCTCTAAGCCCAGGAAGTTGTCATCAGACTTTAGGTTCTGAGAAATGCCTCTGGAGCAATTCTTTGTTTTCTGTTGGCATATTAGATTCTCAGGTACCTTCTTTATCCCACTGTAATTCCATTGCTCCCATTCCTCTGGTATCTGCACCTTTGATATGGATTGGCTCCAGTTTTCATTGCTATCATAGGACTTCTCATCCATGAAGTTGAGGTTCTTATCTGGATGGGAGTCCTTTTTGTTACGGTAGATCACATCCTGCTGTGAATTTCCCTGGACTTCACCGAGCTGTGGCTGGAGGGGGAATTCCGGTTGGCACATGGCAAACATCGATGCCCCCACCCAACTGGGAAAAAGAAAACCAGCAGAGAAAGAAATGTAGATATAAGGACATGACCAATATGCATAAAAATTCCAACACTCCTAGATGTCATCCCGAAATTCATGCTTTGGATCCCAGGCCAATCTCAGCATTTAGACCTCTCTAAAAGCCTGGATCATCAAATTAAAAAAAAAAAAACTGTGATCAGTAACCATGTGATCAGAGCTGACTAAGCTTCTTCTGAATAGAGTTTAGTTTTCCAGGACTTAAGGAAAGTTTCCTTTGTTCCTATAATGAGCTTCTGGTTATCTAAATCCTGATTTATTTCATTAACTCAATGGTTCAGGTTCATGCAACACTGAATTAGCAACTGACCGGCCAAGTTGAGTTCACACAGCATACAGTATTGACCCATAAATTAACCAGATTTTGTTCCAGTGAGTTGTGTAAGGCCAATCCTAGTGCTTCCTGTGCTGGGGAGGCAGGGAGGAGAAGATAACTTCATGCTAGCCCCCAAGTAATTCACAAACTGGTCATATTTCCATCTTTCTAAGCATGGGTGACTATGTTGCATAATACTTTTCTGGCTTAAAACCACAATAGTCCTCTGAATGCATGTGGGATGAGAGGACCATAAATGGGACCTGGATGATTACTTTAGCTGATCTAATTTAAGTTTTACTAAAATAAATGAATATAACACAGTCATCAGAATAAACACAGAACATAGAACAATAAGATTTGAATAAAACATTGAGGTTTACTAGTCCAATCCCCTGCTCAAGCTGGAGATCCTATACTCTTCTGGATAAATGGCTGCCCAGTCTTGAAAACCTTCATGGTTTGAGCGCCCAATAAACAAAAATATTTGTAGTTCAGGATTGAAATGAAGGGTCCTGTGTCGCCCTCTGAGCTTGGTTGTTTTCTTGCAGGTGCTTTATTACTCAAATTAGGTAATATTATCAGTGCTATCACTAATGGAGTGAGCTCCCATTACTTACAATAATACAATACAATAGCAGAGTTGGAAGAGACCTTGGAGGTATTCTAGTCCAACCCCCTGCCCAAGCAGGAAACCCTATACCATTTCAGACAAATGGCTATCCAACATCTTCTTAAAGACTTCCAGTGTTGGGGCATTCATAACTTCTGGAGCCAAGCCGTTCCACTGATTAATTGTTCTGTCAGGAAATTTCTCCTCAGTTCTAAGTTGNTCCTTGATTAGTTTCCACCCATTGCTTCTTGTTTTGCCCTCAGGTGCTTTGGAGAATAGTTTGACTCCCTCTTCCTTGTGGCAGCCCCTGAGATGTTGGAACACTGCTATCATGTCTCCCCTAGTACTTTTTATTAAACTAGACATACCCAATTCCTGCAACCGTTCTTCATATGTTTTAGTTCTCCAGTCCCCTAATCATCTTTGTTGCTCTTCTCTGCAGCTTCTGCCAACCTAGCAGTTTGAAAGCATGTAAAAATGCAAGTAGAAAAATAGGAACCTCTTTGGTGGGAAGGTAACAGTGTTCCGTGCGCCTGTGGCATTTAGTCATGCCAGACACATGACCATGGAGACATCTTTAGACAGCACTGGCTCTTTGGCTTTGAAACGGAGATGAGCCCTGCCCCCTAGAGTGGGGAACGACTAGCACATATGTGCGAAGGGAACCTTTATTTTAATTTGGGTAATGAAACATGTGCAAGAAAACAACCAAACTCTAATGGAGCACCCACAATGTCTTTCCATATATTTAATCATTCTGTTCCCCTTTTCCTCCCATAATGGTTACCTTGGCATTACAGGCTTAATCTAACTAACCAAACAAATTGTTTGCAAAAAGAGGCCAAGCCAACTCCCTCTCCTTACCCAAATTAACCTAAAAGCCACTGTTGGGCCTTTAACTCTTTTGTCTATTGTGCACAAACATCAGAAGGCCCACAACGTGGCAAGCACAGCTTACAGAGGCTCTTCCACTCTTGGGGCTGCAGGTTGTGTAGTTCAGCTGTAGGCAGATCTGGGCTAGACAGGTGGAATATAATAACCTGGCAGAAAGGGAAGATTTTTCTCCCCCAGGTCCCCCAAAACACCCAAAGCAGGTGAAAGAGGGGAAAAACCAAACCTGATGTCCATACAATCCTAAAAGACACCCAGGGGCTCCAGAATCTTCACTCAGCATTGCTAACGTACGTGGGCTCTCCCCGCATTTTCCAAGCAAGCTCTAGAAAATATTTCTTTCCTTTCCCGGCTGAGAACGACGCTGTCGGGGAGGTGGCAGAAGGCTGGACCTGTTTGCCGTTTTAGGGCATGTGATTTGGGTGGGGGTGGGGGTGACAGGTGCAGCGCCAATGGTCTAGCAGGCAAGCTGCAGGCAGTTTACGCCGAGAAAGGAAGGAAGGTAGAAACCGGGAGCAGTTTTTGGTCGGGAGCCCCGCTGAAAGGATTATTCTACGTCCGCGCTCAAATGGTCGTTTGTGCCCCCCCTCCCCGTCCCCTCCCCGTAAGCCCCGGCCGCGGGCTTGGCACTCACCGCTGGAGCCTCGCAGGAATGTAGCGGGGAGGGGCGCTCGGGCGGGGAGGGGGGCTGGCAGGATTTTGGCAGCCGACCGTCGCTTCTACGGAGTAAGACGCGGGAGGGGGGCGGAAATGGCACAGATCGGGAATGTTGCAAGGAAGCACCGCCCGTTTCCTGGAGGTGCCCAGACGGTGGTGCCGGTGCCGGTGGCGATTGCGGAGAGGGAAGGCGAGGAGAAAGAACAGGTGACCCCGGAAAGCGATGCGTACGAACGGCTCCTCCCTCCTTCGCACACACATCCCAAGTCCTTCTGAAAGGATTCCCAGCAGCTGGCACGTTCACATGACCAAGACGTGAGGCTGGACAAGATGCCAGGAGAACTGGGTTGGTGACGTTTGCGGTGGGAGGGCTGGGTGCGGGGTCGTGATGAGTAGCATGTGGAGGAGGACTTGGCCTGGGCAGTCCGTGGACCCCTGACCCTTTCTGAACACGGATGGAGCTGCGGGACAACAGTGGTTCCCCGCATTGTCAAACTTGGTGCTGTCCATTAAGCCTTTGATCAAACCCACCTAATCCCCAACCAGGGGGTGAAATTCAGCAGGTTCTGAAAGGTTGTGGAGAACCGGTAGCTCGGAGAACTGGCAAATACCACCTCTGGCTGGTCCCAGAGTGGGGAGGGAATGGGAATTTTGCAGTATCCTTCCCCCAGGAATGGGAAGGGAATGAGGATGTTGCAGTATCCTTTCCCCAGGAATGGAGAGGGAATGGGGATTTTGCAATATCCTTTCCCCAGGAATGGGAAGGGAATGAGGATGTTGCAGTATCCTTCCCCCAGGAATGGAGAGGGAATGGGGATTTTGCAATATCCTTTCCCCAGGAATGGGAAGGGAATGAGGATGTTGCAGTATCCTTCCCCCAGGAATGGAGAGGGAATGGGGATTTTGCAATATCCTTTCCCCAGGAATGGGGAGGGAATGGGGATTGTGCAGTATCCTTCCCCCAGGAATGGAGAGGGAATGGGGATTTTGCAATATCCTTTCCCCAGGAATGGAGAGGGAATGGGGATTTTGCAATATCCTTTTCCCAGGAGTGGG